GTAATCCAACAAGACCGTAATTGTCCAAGCCAGAGGTTCTGTTTGTCTCAAAAACGGTGGTGGTGGTTTCCAGAGAGAAGACCTGGAGGGACGAGAGCAATTGATGTTTAAGGACGTTGCTCCAATCTTGGTGAAAGGCTGATGCCTGGATTCCTTTGAATCGAGCATGATTTGTGGCGCAGAACATGATAGAAGATTTGAGCTTGTTGAAAATTTTAAACCAAGGGGAGTATTCCCCGCTAAAAATCCTGTTGTTATGCTCGATCCATAAGGACCACAGGGCCGCGGCCACCACTGATTTTCAGAGCATAATCCCTGCTTTGGCCAAAAGGCTTGATTGAAGAGTGAACTGAAGTCACTTCCGCAGGTAGTACCCATTCTACCTTGAACAACTTGAGGACTGCATCCCAAAGGTTGTAAGCGTAGGGACAATGCAGGAAGAGGTGGTTATTAGTTTCCTCTTTTGCTAAGCACAAGACACGGCGATTGGGAATTTGAATGCCACGTCTTTGTAGCTGATCAATAGTCAGTACTCTCTTAGAGAGGGCCAACCACGTGAACACCTTGACTTTTGGGGGGGTTAAGGAATCCCAGGCCTGGGCCACAATAAAAGTTGGTGCAAGGGAGAAAGTGGGAGGCAGTGACAGAGAGCAGTAAAAAAGATGACACCGTGAAAGAGCCTCCCGGGGCAGGACTCCAAATGATGCAATATGTACCCACGTGGGCTAGGAAACAGGCTCGCAAGTCTGTCGAAAGGGAGGCAAAGCTGGAGAGTTCTTGGTCATTTAAGGTTCTCCTGAAAACTGCGTTCCAAGAGCGAGAAGTCCTAGTCAGTAGCATTTCTTGGGCTACTGTTGCCCCTTGATCTCTAGCAAGTCGAAAGAGATCAGGGTGTTCATCCCTAAGCGGGGTGTGGCCCAGCCAAAGATCATGTCAAAAGAGGATTCGATCCCGTGATCTGGGATGGAACCTGATTCGGCGTTTAAAGAATTGAAAAGTTGAGCAAATAGACCTCCAGATGCCTGAAGACCCGTTATTGGCTCTAAATTCACGTAGCCAAGGAGAATCGTGAAGACAATATTTGGTTTCAAGGATGTCGATCCAAAGTTGGTTCCTGTGAGTTAGCAGGCGCCAACACCATTTGCCAAGTAGGGCTAAATTCTGAGTACCAATTTTTTTAATACCCAGACGCCCCCATTTCTTTGGTTGGCAGAGTTTATCCCAAGCTATCAAGTGGAATTTGTGGTCAGAATCAGCGCCTAACCACAAGAACCTCCACATAAGTTGCTCGATCCTCTTGCTAATGGCAGCTGGCATGTGGAAAATGGACATCTGGTATATTGAAATGTTGGCTAAAGTTGCTTTGATAAGCGTCAACCTGCCACCTGGGGATAGAAACCTTCCTTTCCATCCAACTAATCTGCAGCCTACTTTGTCAACAATGTGGGACCACGGGCTTTTGTTAGGTTTTCCAATGCATAGAGGAAGACCTAAATACTTGGATGGTAATGTTTCCTTACCACAACCCCACATATCAGCAAAGGAACTGAGTGTGGAAGGGTCAACATTGATCCCCATCATAGTGGTTTTGTCGTAATTTTCTATGAACCCGGTGGCAAATTCAAAGCATCTAAGGAAGAGGAAGAGATTGTGGATTTCCGTGGGAGAAGCATGACTGAAGACCAGAGTGTCATCTGCGTATTGGAGGTGAAAAACTGGGGGAGCCCCAAGTCCCATAGAGAAGCCATGCAACAAATCTGCAGCATATATACTGTCAAAAGACTGGTTAAAAACGTCTGTCGAGATAGCGAAGTAGAAGGGGGAGAGGGTGTCCCCTTGATGGAGTCCTCTAGTAGAGGGGAAATACCATTGGGGGTGCCATTGATGAGAATTGAAAAATAAGGGTGAGAGTAACAAACTCTCATCCAATTTCTCCACTTGACACCGAAGCCCATCTTGGTTTGAGTTTCTTCTTTAATTTCCCAATCGACATGATCATATGCTTCTCCCATAATCTGTCGGTCTTTGATGAAAGCACTTTGATTGGGACTGATGACTAGGTGCAAGACCTCTTTGAGGCAAGAGGCTAGCACCTTAGCGAGGACTTTGTAGGTGGAGTTAACCAAGCTTATAGGTCTAAAATCTTTAAGCTGATTAGCACCTTGAATTTTGGGTAAGAGAATTATGAATGTCGCATTCATAGCTCGATGGATTATCCCCTTATCGTGAAATTCTTCGAAGAAGTTGAGAAAGTCAGCTCGAAATGATTCCCAAAAGATCTTGAAAGGAGCCAGAGGGAAACCGTCCGATTTAGGGGCCCTATCAAAGTCCAAGTCCGATAGAGCTGCTAAAATTTCATATTTGCAAAAAGGTCTCTCCAGCTAAGGTACCTTTTCTGGAGGTAGAGCAAGGAATTCTAAATCACCCATCTGTGTTCGAGGGGCCGTGGGGGCCAAGAAGAGGGTTTCAAAATAGCAAGGATGGCTTGCTCTATGTCTGGGAGTCGATCTAAAAGGTTTCC